TGTACATAGTTAAGAGTGTGCTTTCAATTCCACATTTTTTTCTCGGATATATTTTACTTAGACATTTTTCGATATCTATATTACTATGACGGAACACTCTCCTAAGGTTCTTAAGTTCAAGTCTATTCCCCCTATTTCGATTCAGTTAACGCCATTCTGGCCCGACAATATCGAGTCCTGGTTCTGCTATGCAGAAGCCGATTTTTGCATGCACGGAATCACGGACTCGCGCACACGTTTCCTCGCGGTAGTTAAGGCGTTACCACGCGAGTTTAACAGGTACGTAACACCTAGTATGTTTACTAGTGATGTTTCCGAACCTTACGAATCGCTTAAGCTATCGATTTTAAAACGAGGAGACCTAACTGATCGACAACGGTTAGACCAACTCCTTAACAATATCGACTTGCAACATGGTTCTGCGACGGACATGTTGCTTAGAATGAGAGAAGTCATCGGCCAACGAACTTTCGATGATGGCCTATTTAGACAACTTTTCTTGTCTAAACTCCCTCAACAGGTGCAGGCAGTGCTTGTTTCATTTCAAAACAATGCCATAGATGAACTAGCTGCATCTGCCGATCGAATCTTGGAAATCACCAAATTTTCTAAGGCCGAGGTTTTTTCCATCAAAGAAAAACCCCAATCGACCTCGACTGACATGGCCGAACTATGTCACACGCTTACACGATATCTTAGAGTTCGCAATGACCGTAGTCGGTCAAAAACCCCGCGTAGAAGTGCCTCACGTAAGCGATCTGGCTCTCGACCACGAGAGACAGACAATCCCGACTGGTGCTGGTATCATAACCAGTACGGTAAGTTTTCCAGAAACTGCAGGAAACCTTGCAATTATCCGACCCCAAAATCGAGTGACACGAAAAACAGTTCGGGAAACTTCCCAGCCGGCACGCGTTAACGGCAACCGTAGCCGGCGAACACAGCCGCCTCTTATATGTCACGGATGTGACTACGAAAGTTCGCTACCTCGTCGACACTGGCGCAGAAGTTAGCGTTCTTCCAGCAAATCTCGACGACAGACTTCGCGAGTCTATTTTAAGTTTACAGGCGGCAAACGGAAAGCCGATCGCTACTTACGGTAAAAGGTACGTCTACCTTAACGTGGGTTTACGTAAACCCATACACTGGATTTTCGTGGTTGCAGATGTCTGTATGCCAATCATTGGTATTGACCTGTTACAACACCACAATCTACTCATCGACACACGCGCACGAAGGTTAATAGACGGAAACACTAAGTTGTCCGTTTGCGTAACTCCTTGTTCTGGTTGCAGGTTATCCCCAGTCACGATTAAGCACGCCATAGACCCCTTGTACCAAGCAGTACTCGACAAATACCCCGGGATATACCAATCGCAATCGAAATTACCTTGTGTAACCAGCAATGTTACACATCACATCTCGACTACAGGACCACCTGTATTTTCGAAAGCCCGAAGACTCGCTCCCGAAAAGCTTAGGAATAACCTAGGAATAATTCGACCATCGAATAGTCCATGGGCATCCCCATTGCACATGGTCCCTAAAAAGGACAGCAATGATTGGCGGCCAACTGGTGATTATCGGCGTCTGAATGCTAAAACCATTCCCGATCGTTACCCGCTGCCTCATATTCACGATTTGACAGCTACCTTGAAAGGTACAACTGTCTTTTCGAAAATCGACTTGGTTAAAGCTTATAACCAAATCCCGATGGCAACTGACGACATTCCTAAAACCGCCATCATCACTCCCTTCGGTCTTTACGAATTTCTACGAATGCCTTTTAGTTTAAGAAACGCGGCTCAAACCTTCCAAAGGTTTATAGACGACGTCTTCCGAGGTCTCAACTTCGTACATGCGTATGTTGATGACTGTCTAATAGCAAGACCGGACAGAGAATCACATCTCAAGCATCTGGACATTGTTTTCGATCGACTCCAAAGGCATGGCATTACTGTCAACATTCAGAAATGCCAAATCGGAACTAACTGCTTAGACTTCTTAGGACACACTATTGATGCTCAAGGCATCCGACCACTTAGGAGCAAAGTGGCGGCCATTCTGGATTACCCAGAACCGACCACGATCAAGCAGTTACGAACTTTCAACGGACTTGTAAGTTTCTATAGACGGTTCATACCTAAATGCGCATCCCTAATGAAACCGTTAACCGATCAGCTTCGTGGAAATGCGAAATCAATTAGTTTAGACGACATAGCCCGTAAAGCATTTTCCACAGTTTAGGAACACATCGCTAAAGCAACCTTGCTTGCTCATCAGGACAGTCAAGCGCCCATTAGTATCGCCGTAGACGCATCCGACTCAGCAATCGGAGCAGTCTTACAACAATGGGTTAACAACTCGTGGCAACCTTTAGGATTTTTCTCGAGACGGTTGCTAGACGCGGAATCTAGGTACAGCACGTTCGGTAGGGAACTCCTAGCTATGTATTGTGCTGTACGGCATTTTCAACATTCCATCGAAGGAAGAGAATTCACGCTCTTTACCGATCACAAACCTCTTACCTTCTCTTTAAATTCATCTTCAGACAAGTACTCACCGCGAGAGTCTCGACAACTCGACTACATTTCGCAGTTTACTTCAGACATACAACATATTTCTGGAGCAAACAATGTAGTCGCAGACGCCTTGTCTCGAATTAGCTCCTTGAACAGTTTCCAAGGAATCGACCTTCTTAAACTCGCTCAGCTTCAAAAAGAAGACATTGATCTTCAGCATGAGTTATCCTCTACAACTCTTAAACTAAGTATTAGGCAGATGGGAACAGGTAAGGAAACCTTACTCTGTGACACATCTACAGGTAGGGATCGTCCAATTGTACCAAAACATTTTCGCCGCAACGTCTTCAATACGTTGCACAATCTTTCTCATCCAGGTGCTCGTGCAACAATCGAACTTATAGCCGAACGCTTTAGTTGGCCTGGTATGAATAAAGACGTGAGGGAGTGGGCACGCTCCTGTGTAAGCTGCCAGAAATCTAAGGTGATCAGACACAACAAATGTCCCTTAGGCTCTTTCAAAACCCCTGACGCTCGTTTCGACCACGTCCATCTAGATTTGGTAGGACCCTTACCCGACTCGAACGGATACTCATATCTCCTAACATGCGTAGACCGTTTTACTCAATGGCCAGAAGCAGTACCGATTAAGGACATTACTGCTGAAACAGTGGCTCGCACTTTCGTCGAACGATGGGTAGCAAATTTCGGCTGCCCTTCCACAATCACTACAGACCGCGGACGCCAGTTCGAATCTGGACTTTTCCGTTGTCTGACCTCACTATTAGGAATCACGCGCTTCCGAACGACCGCCTACCACCCACAAGCAAACGGGTTGGTAGAACGTTTTCATCGACAATTAAAAGCTTCATTATCAGCTTCAAACGTTTCACAGTGGACAGACGCTCTTCCACTCGTCTTGCTAGGTATCCGCAATGCAGTGAAAGCTGACATTGGATACACGGCATCTCAACTCGTTTACGGAACGACACTCCGACTCCCAGGAGAATTCGTGGATCTTTCAGCATCTTCATTGAACATGGATCTAAACTCTTACACGAGTAGGCTTACAAACGCTATGCGTTCAGTTAAACCTGCTCACACTCGACCTCAATCAACTGATGTTTTCGTTCAACCCGAATTACGACATAGTACACACGTCTTCGTTCGTCGAGACTCACATCGACGACCCCTCGAATCAGCATACGAAGGACCCTTCAAAGTTCTTCAACGCGAACCTAAGTACTATGTAGTCGATAAGAACGGTACGAACGATAGCATCAGTATCGATCGACTCAAAGCTGCGTACCTAGAAGGAAACCCTAGCTACGTCGATTTTCCTTCGGTACAAGCAAACGACACAGCTACTACACTCGTAGTACCCCACACGACAACCGACACACAACTTGATACTTCGTCAACGTCGATAGAAAAACCTAAAACAACGCGTTCTGGAAGACGAGTCAGATTTCCAGAACATCTTAACGAATATTGCACGTAGGGCATAAGCTTTATCTTGAATTACCCTTCCATAGTTCATCATTAAAAAAAATTTTTAATATGATAATTTTTTATTTATATAAAAAAAACAAAAAAAACAAAACATTTTTATCTCTTTTTTGAGCGTATATATATATACTTTTTATATATAAAAAAAAACCAAAAACAAACCATTTTTTTTTCAAATCGCTTTTACGCTGTTTGTAAGTGTTTCAGTTTATTTTTTCCGCTCATCTTGTGTCCTTACGCAAGTACGAGTGTATTTTCGACATGCACTCACACGTTTTATTTTTCCTCTTTTCCAGGACGGCTGGAAAAGAACGACGAAGTTTCTCAAGGAACCGAAATTTTCATTGTACTATATTTCTTTATTGCTATGTTGTACATTTTGGTCCCATAGTTTAAGGAAAGACGACCAGATGCTGCTAAACGAAGCAAGCTATCAGAAGAGTGTTTACCAGCGACAAACTCGTTGGGTTTAAACTTCTGGCTGGTCACGTCTTAGGGGCATCACTACCTCACTAGGGGGGGAGTGATCTGTAGCTGTAAATAATTCCCCAAAATCAATAGTTCATTAAGTGTTCGACATTGGATGCTGACCACGTGTTTAAGTGGACTTGTTTAGCTGAAGGCTTTCGGTCATGCATCCGCACCAGATCACGTTTCAACACGGCGTGGGACACAGCTCCTACGTTTCATTAGCCAGCTCATAGAAAAGGTCCTCGATATATTGGTAACGAATCAAATATATCTTTCCTGCCTCTTCTCGTCTGACTTCTGATTTCTATCTGACTGGGAACAATCGAATTTAGAAGGTGCTACTGGTATCTAGTTGTAAAACTAGAATATCCGTTCCATCATCAGTCTCTTACAAATATTTAGTGGCCCATGACAAATGATTTACCCCTAATCTCATCTTTTAAATTCGAAATTGTAAAACAAAATTCGGGCATTTCCGTCAATATAAACATTTAGGTTCTTAGATCTTACTTTCAAATTATGTTTTGTTTGTTTAAGTACACTGAAAGTCTCTCTAGTTCTTGTTCGTGGATTTAAGTTCAAGGTTCAGCTTCTCTTGCCATAGTAATTACTTGTCGTTGGTTGATGATTAGGAGAGGAGCACTTTTACTTTTTGTAACTCTTTTAGCTTGGTCGTTGGCACAGCAAAGTAAGGAACGTGGCCGATGCTTTTCTCTTGTAAGCTTTAATTGTTTCTAATACTTTGTAGTTAAGTGGTATGGTGGATGATATTAATGCAGACATCCAGAAGATAACTGGTTTCAACAATTTGAAAGTTTTGCCTCGTATCAAAAATATTTTACGAAAGGATTTCTTCCACTACTTCGAGGTACTTAATTTTTCAATCATTACTACTTTTTAAAAACTTTCAAATGTCCTCATAAGGCATGATCCCCGTTGTACTTAAAAGCACTATAACTCAATGACGTTTTATTAGCGACAAAATCACATGTTTTGCTCTTACCTGGTGTTATGCCATTTTAAATACAAGACACCTTAATCTATTCTTGTTATCGTACCCCAAGTTACGAGTTGATCTAATACTGGCTTACCATGTACCTAACTATGGTCTTGTTATGAATGTGTCATATCTTTTCTATCCATCCAGGATTGACCGTCTAAGAGGACATTTCAAAAAAATCCAGAACTGAGATCAAATCGTTTGCGTTGAGTATTACATTTCTCGCTCTGGGTGGTAAATTACTGTAATTCTATACCCGACCGTTGCTGCTACCTTGACGTGGTGGTCGGGCTTGCCTATCGTGATGAAGCAATCAAGCTATGCTGGCTGGAACAATCGTTCCTCGAGGTCCTACCATGCCAGACAGGTCGGTTGAAGAGCGGTGAGACTAAAAGCAGCAAACCCAAGGTCCGAAGGCGAAGTCGTACTGTCGACTGTACAGAGGTGTGACGGCAGTAAGGTGTTTCCTTCAGACAACCAGCATGACAGCGATGCTGCCTTCCCACAAGGAGGGGTGGGGTTAGAAAAGGTCGGCCCTAAAAATGCACACCTCGCCTTATCCCACGGATATCCGTCTCCAGCGGTAAGGTTTTTTTTGAAGAACGGAGCTAACACAAAAACTACCCCGAATTCTATACCAGAACATGTAATATCAGCGCCCTTTGCTGATGCATTAAAGGCGTACTACAGATTCCAGGGATTAATATAAGTTGACTGAATTCTTGTTCTTGCTTCTGAAGACTGAAAACAGTTTAGACCTTACAACTTAATGTCACTTATTCAGTTATTTTTATCTCTATTGTTATACATTTGGCTTTGCCCTGCCGTAAAATCCCTGCCTAACGTTTTCGCAAGGGACTGACAAATCATGGGCCACCTAACACTCCCGTGAGGTTTAGTTGTTAGGCGAAGACACAATACAAAATCCAGGCTAATGAAACAAAAAGCAAGGATGTGTATGACTTTTCAACTTTCCTCTTGTTGTTTGTCCTCCTATACCAATGAGTGTTCACGAAACAGTACTTTATTAATATTCGCTGCCTTTACAAGGCGTCAAGTCAAAGTAACCAAATTTTATCTACAAGTTCGGACCCCCTCCTGAGTACTTCGACTTTGTCAATTGGTTAGTATCTTTAGCATTCCTTGTGATTCATGACTTCAACCCAGGTACACAAGCTCGTTCTTGAGTATTGAGTCGAAATAAATTATTTAAAAGAAACACTAGTTGACTTAGTGCACTGGTGGTGTAAGTAATACCCAAGTTAATCTGCGTGTTGATTCGATAGGAGTCTTTATTTAGTAGCTTTCTTTGGTAGGTTTTTTTCATATTCCAACTGTTTATATGCCAAACATTGTCAGTGACCAAATAACTAACAGAAGTAGTCATTTCTTGACTTGCATCCTGACTTACAATTTATTTAAATGCATAATCTGGATTTCAATAATTCAACTGTATAATTGAGACATGATCGAAATATGTGTGAATGTTTTACTTCATCATTCTCAATAGCTATGAATTCTTTATATATTTTATCCTCATGGACTATTTTAGGTTAATTTGGAACGCGGTTGCCCCTTTTTCGACGATGATAAACGATGCCCATCATCGGATTGTCGAGTTAAGGACTGTCCAGCTGAAGAAATACCTTTAGGACTACGTGAATATTCATTGGAATCGTCACCTCACCATAAAGTACGATTTATTTGTTTAACTTCACTTAGTAGTATTCGAAAGAGGCCAATATGTATCCAGAAGAAATCGACTGTGGGTTGGGAAAGTTAGATAGTTCTTTAAGGTAAGTTGTTCTTGCCGTAGCTCTCATTTCGCAGTTCTGTAATGGTTTGTCACATAATGGAGAGAGGAATTGTTAACTTATGCATGTTCACAGGACGTTTGACCGAAGTTATCAAATACAAGAATAATTTGCCTAAAAAGAAGTGGTTCACGAATTGTCGCACTAAGACATTTACCACAAGTATTATAACAATGTTCGGCAGCAGTTAAGAACTAATAATTCTTAGGAAGTTGTTTGGGACATCGTGTTTATGTAAGAATAGTATCGAGGGCCAATTCCATTGCGGTTACAGTGTAATTATAATGATCTACGACCAGAGGAAAAGGAAGAAGGTAGTGATCATAGCGTAATAACATCAGAAATTACTGTGATAAGCCTGGCGTAATACATGTGCTAGGTTTTTAATGTCTTACTGATTTGGATATATGTTATTAGCCAGATTAACCAGGAATCTTGTAAATGTTAAATATCTTCAAGAAGAGATGTTTAACAAGTAAACTCAGTAATGAGAATGACTAAGCACTTACTGTCACCATAATTTCACCAGTGGAGTGGGATATAGTCACATGCGTAAGAATTTCTATGTCAGTTTTAGATGGAAAGTAATCATCGACGTAGCGATCGAATGGTGGTAGTGATTTTATTTCACGAAGAGATCGTGGAAAAATATTCTAGAGTTATAAAAATTTACTAGTGAAGTAATTCATATAGAGAAAAGGTTTAAAATAAGACATTTTCACTTTTGAGATAGAGTCATGAATACCATAACTAAGTGTTTTTACACGTTGGATTTCATCAGTGAATGTTAGAGATACTGTAGTTTATATTTTAAAGGAAAAGGTTTGAATTCAGTTTGAATTACCGCTTCTATAAAGGATCGAGTCCAAACTCAGTGCACCTAAATCTTAAGATCTCAAGATACTCATTCCCAAAAATGAGAATTTTAGATTGCCACTAGACAGATTTCAACCTAAGTTTATCCTTTATGCAAACACTATTAAGAATAAAAGTTAGGTACCCGATATGTGACCAGATACATACTTTGTATACTAAAACACGTGAATCATTGTTACAAATGTTACATAGTATATGATGTGTGGGCGAGAATGACAATGATTGGTTATCTTGATGAGATAAACATTAGATAGGATGACAGGTGTTATGTGTTATATATATTTCCCTATCCTTATTATGTATTGACACTTGTTGTTGGACACTTATTGATGGACTGTTATTGATTGACTGTTCTTTGTGTTGGAATTTGGTGTGGAAATATATTGACGTTATCACTTTACTACTTACTTACGCCTGTTACTCCCAATGGAGCATAGGCCGCCGACCGGCATTCTCCAACCCACTCTGTCCTGGGCCTTCTTTTCTAGTTCTATCCAGTTCTTGTTCATTCTTCTCATGTCTGTCTCTATTTCTCGGCGTAATGTGTTCTTTGGTCTTCCTCTTCTCCTTTGACCTTCAGGATTCCATGTGAGGGCTTGTCTTGTGACACAATTAGGTGATTTCCTCCATTTGTGCCCAATCCACTTCCAGCGCTTCCTCCGCTGGAATCTGGTTTGTTGTCTCCCACAGTAACTTGTTGCTGATAGTCTCTGGCCAACGGATCCGAAGTATCTTGCGTGGACAGCTGTTAATAAGCACTTGTATCTTCTGGATAATGGCTTTCGTAGTTCTCCACGTCTCCGCCCCATACAGAAGAACTGTCTTGACATTAGTATTGAAAATTCTGATTTTGGTGTTGATTGACATTTGTTTTGAGCTCCAGATGTTTTTCAGTTGTAAGTATGCTGCTCTTGCTTTGCCGATCCGCGCCCTCACATCTGCATCTGATCCACCATGTTCATCAATGATGCTGCCCAGATATGTAAAGGTTTCCACATCTTCCAAAGCTTCTCCGTCAAGTGTAATTTGATTGGTGCATATTGTATTGTATCGGATAATCTTGCTTTTCCCTTTGTGTATATTGAGACCTACTGCTGCTGAGGCTGCTGCTACACTGGTCGTTTTCTCCTGTATTTGTTGTTGCGTTTGTGATAGAAGAGCCAGATCATCCGCGAAGTCTAAATCGTCAAGCTGCATCCTGCCTGTCCACTGTATCCCGTGCATTCCTCCAGATGTTGACGACTTCATGATCCAGTCGATCATCAGGAGAAAGAGAAAGGGTGAGAGTAAGCAACCTTGCCTAACACCGGTCTTTACTTCAAACGAGTCAGTGAGTTGTCCTCCGTGGACGATTTGGCAGTTTAGTCCATCATAGGAGTTCCGTATGATATTGACTATCTTCTCAGGCACGCCGTAGTGTCGAAGAAGCCTCCATAGTGTCGTCCTGTCCACACTATCAAATGCCTTCTCGTAGTCGGTGAAGTTGATGTAGAGTGATGAATTCCATTCGATTGATTGTTCCACAATGATACGTATAGTCACGATTCCGTGAGTACACGATCGGTCCTTATAGAATCGAGACTGTTGGTCTCGAAGTTGGGCGTCCACGGAATCCTTCATCCTGTTTAACAATACTCTGTTGAAGACTTTTCCTGGTATTGAGAGAATAGTGATGCCCCTGTAGTCATCACACTTGCTGAGATCGCCTTGCTTTGGTATTTTGACCAGAAGTCATTCTTTTCAGTCTGTTGGTACTTGTTCTTCATCCCAAATCTTATTGAAGAGAATGTGCAGTATCTTTCCAGTTACTGCTACATCTGCTTTCAGTGCCTCTGTCGGGATATTGTCTGGTCCCGCTGCTTTGCCGCTCTTGATTTATCTGATAGCTATGATGATCTCTTCAATTATTGGTGGGCCAACATCGATTGGGAGGTCTGTGTGTGCTGCTTCGATGTTGGGTGGGTTCAGTGGAGCTGGTCGATTCAAGAGTTCCTTGAAGTGTTCTACCCACCTGTTTCATTTTTATTCAATGTTGGTGATTATTTTGCCTTCCTTGCTTTTCACTGGTCTTTCTGGCTTACGGTAATTTCCAGCAAGTTTCTTTGTTGTATCATACAGTTGTCTCATGTTTCCCTCTCTTGCAGCCTTTTCCGCTGTCACTGCTAAATCTTCCACATATTTACGTTTGTTGGTTCTGATACTCCTCTTCACTTTCTTGTTTGCCTCTGTGTATTCGGCTTGTGCCTTGGCTTTTTCTGCTCTGGTTCGGCTGGTATTGATTGCTGCCTTCTTGTTCCTCCTTTCTTCAATTTTATCCAGTGTACCAACAGTGATCCATTCCTTGTGATGGTGTTTCTTGTGGCCCAGAACCTCCTGACATGTTGATGTGATTGCCTCCTTGATACCTTTCCAGTTGCTCTCCATGGTAGTTCCCTCTCCATTGAGTAGATCATAAAAGGCCTGGAACTTATTGCTGAGAGCTATCCTAAATTTGTTGAGTTTGTCTGCATCTCGAAGAAAGGCCGTATTAAACTTTTGTGATGTTTTCCACCCTTCTGCCTAGTGCTTCTTAAATTTTAATTTCGTCTTGGCGACCAGCAAGTGATGATCTTATGCTATATCAGCTCCTCTCCTGATTCTCACATCCTCCATCGTCCTGCTGAACTTTTTGTTGATGTATATATGGTCGATTTGATTCTGTGTAGTGTGATCCGGTGAAATCCAAGTGGCTTTGTGTATGTTTTTGTGTGGGGATATGGTGTCACCTATGACCAGTTTATTGAAGGCACATGGGTTTGCAAATCTCTCACCATTTTCGTTCCTTTCTCCCAGTCCATGTCGTCCCATGATGTCTTCGTATCCAGTGTTGTCCTTTCCAACCTTGGCATTGAAATCTCCCATCAGAATGGTGAGGTCCTTTGTTGGGCACTTTTCGAAGATCGACTGCAGCCTATCGTAGAATTGGTCTTAAGCGTCTTCATCGTAGTCGTTGGTAGGCGCATAGTATTGGATGACGTTCATTTTAATGCCCTCTCTCTTTGTTTTGAAGGAGGCTTTGATGATCCTTGGTCCATGAGATTCCCATCCAATAAGTGCATTTTGTGCTTTTCTGGACAGCATCAATGCAACGTTTTGTGTATGTGGGGCATTTTCTTCTTCATGACCGGAGTATAACAGAAGTTCTCCTGAAGACAGTCGTTGTTGTCCAACCTGCGTCCAATGTGTTTCGCTTATTCCAAGCACCTCCAGGTTGTATTTTCTCATTTATGCAGCAATTTGGAAAACTCTTCCGGTCTCCCACATTGTCCGGACATTTCATGTACCTATAAAAATTGTCGCTCTGGTTGTAAGAAGGTGCATCGGCCTCATGACTTCCGAAGGAACTCGGCTTTCATCATGAGACGTCATAATTATTTCCTTCTACTCCCAGGGCAGAGTTTAAATGGTTTGAATGATTTTTTCTGGTTAACGTTTTTTTAGCGAGTTGATTTTCTACGGGATGGGGTCGCTAACCCCATGCCCAACCCTCCTCCTTTACCCGGGCTTGGGACCGGCAGTAACCCCCAGAGGAGCTACAGGCGGAGTTATATTAACGTTATAGTCAGGCTAATCTCGTGTTCTTGATCTGAGTTGTGTTGAATTCCTGTAGAATAGACACCGGGTGGGAATCTAGTGTAGATATTCGTCTAAGGTAATTAACGTCCCACATACGTGTAAAAAGTGAAAGGACTGTTATAACAAGAAACCGCCAGCGTTATAACAAGCATCTTCTATCGTTTATAACAGTATACAACCCAGGATTCTTTGAGGCTTAAACGTCTGTATTGAAACCTGTTCGGAGAAAGACATTTTTGGAATACCTTAGTCCTAAATCTGCCACTATGTAAAACCTAGATAACACCTTACCATTTATGGTGAGGTCGTAGCTGAGCAAAGGTTTATTATCAATGATAGTACTACACTTTTTTACTACTTGGATATTCATCCTAACAATTTTTGCTTACTGTACTAATATAGTGTAACATCTTAAGACGATTCAGTTTTTTGCCAGATCCTATGTTGCCTATAACTGACTGATGACTATGTGTATGATGTCGTTCAAGTACTCATTCATCTTATTCTTTAAATCATTAATTGTGTTACACAAATTCTTCGTTTCAAATGCTTTTAATCTTGGGCTATAACATCATACTGCCGAATGACTTGGACTATGTCTAAGATTTTTGATGAACCATTTGAATGCTAATTTTTTAAACCGTACACCTCGGATAAAATGTAACTTTATTTTACCTACCATCTCACAAACTAAAATTTTTATTCCAATATATTTTAGTGAAGAACGTAAAACCATAATTGCCAATTGGACTCGTCATGATCATGAAGATGAGCTGACATTCTGTGAACCTGATGGTAAGTGAGATGATATTTTAAGTCTACTTAAAAGGAAAAATTATATAGTCTGAGGGTCGAATCCTCCAATTTATGGGTTCGAATCCATGTGTTTATGAACAAACTAAGAATAACAAATATTTCAGTTAACTTATCTAGTTTTATAATCAACAATTATATACTAATCCAACATATTTTTATGATTACATAAAATAAATAATGCTATAGCAGTTCAATAATTAGGTAACTATAAACCTAGACTACTTACGTAAGCGTGCTCTTAAGTTATAGCTGATTATCTAAACACTGATTATGAAATGTATTGTTTATCATTAGCGAAGAGTTTATCCATCAGTGTAAGTATCTGTTAGTCATGTTACATTCGTCTCACTTACTTATATCACTTTACTGCTGATCAGAAATTGTTATTGCTGATATTAGCTGAAAATAGTATTTATACTTCAGCCAAATCAGTTTATACCCATTCATTCGTCATTGAAAGAATATGTTTTGTTGTTATTGAATAGTAGAATACATGCTTTCTGTTATTTATGATCCTCTCAGCTAAATTATTTACCACATGGTTTATATGCGATTTGACCTTTTTAAACTCAATCCACGGAAGTAGTGAACGTGTTTAGGACGCACTAATTATGCAAACTGTTAACATACTGGATCTTAACTCACTTTTTATTTGAAGGTAAATGTGACTACTCGGATGGTGAGAGTGAAATAAACAGAAAGGCATCTTATCCGTTGGATGATAGGTAAAGATTAACCGTCAAGAGACTCAGTTTTACTTATAAACAAGTTTCGTTAGGTGATGAATTTTGTCGTACATTCGGTGAAATTCATGGGGGGAATTTAGTCACATAGAATACATAGGGTAAGCATAGTTTTGCATATTTAGATTGCTAAATGTCAGAATTCTTAAAGTCAAAATGAGGTTCGCAAGTTGCTCATAGAATTTTTAACATAATTCTGATTTTGATTAGGTGATCAGAGAGTAGGTGTCTTAGTTGCATGATTTTCTGTTTGCTGCGGAGTAACGTATGCACACATGTACACTTTTCTGTTTCGGTTTTAGACGATAGCTCTGGCAAAATGATTTATGTGGACTTACTGAAGAATCCTGAACGTTATACTGGTTACAAAGGACCTGCTTCAAATAGAATATGGTTTATGGTATACAATGAAAACTGTTTCAAGTATGTTTTAGTATTATGACATATTTTAACGTAAATTCCTACTTTAGTGAAGATTCAATAACTTATGGAACAAGTTACCTTGGTCCAAGTAAGTAAACTCGATTTTTGTCATTGTCAATGTCGTTTCCTCAGCTTGTTCACTAAATTAATTGACTCAATTTTGATATGAATCAGTATGTTCTCCTTTCGTTGCTAAACGATCTAAATTTACCTGAAATGAACTAATTGTTGCTTTTAAAATAGTAGTTTCGTTAAAATTTATGTTTACTAAGTTAGTGTAAGTTTGAATCTCATTTGTGTATTGAGTGCTTGAAGAATTTCAGGCCTTAGTTCATGATTGCATGGTAAAAATGAGTTTGCTTATTTATAGAAGCCAAATCACTTAAAACTCGATTATGTGGTTTCAGGAAGGAGAATTATTGGTTCAAATGGAAGCAGTTGACCTTAAAAATTGCAAAGTGTACTCTTCAACATGGAAATCATTTCCCCCACAATTCTGGTGCTTTTATATAAAATTAAACACAAATGGTGGTTTTCTTACAATTCAACAAGTTCATTACATAGTAAAATAAACTCATTCTTTTAGCACTGTCACGAGTTGTACAACACCTTGACAAAGTAGGCACCTATATAAACTAATTTACTATCACAATTTGAACCAAATACACTAAGTTCACAAAAACTGAATACCCCAGTCTTCAAAATATTTCATCGTTTGTCCTGAGTGCAAGACCGATACATTATTATTTGATTGTTTTTTCTGTGTCTACGAGTACTAGTGACAACTGTTTGTTTTACTGTTTATGTTGAATTGTTTTGCGGTTTTATGATATTCTGAATGTTAACAGTAAAGTGAAAACATTACCAGTTATCGCACTGTTTGTTACAGTCCTTGTCGTATTTGTTGTTTAGTGTAGCAGAAATAAATTTATTTGTCGTACAACTTGACTTGGTAATATACGGGTTTAGAATAAGAAAAAATATCATATAGAATATCCTATAGAATTAGTAAAAATATTGATAATACAGTGTAAAAGACACCTGTTGCCTGGAAAGTAGTTTATGTTTACCCATTACATAACATACGATTTAGTCGCACATATTTATTACAAACAATAAAGATCAAGGCACATTATAATATGATAATAAGTGATAAAAATTTAGCGGTTGGAGGCAGTCGACAAGAAACACTGGACCTAGGTTTCAGCACTCGTCAGCAAGGTGTATCCGTGATCTTAAGGAAACTGGTGCTCCCTAGCGGATTTGATACCGTGTCACCCAGATTTATTATCGGAGACTGTCAATGACCAACCTGATCGGCCAGCATTGAGAAGGACTTGATATACATGATACTGGTCGCTACTCAGTGATCAGTTTATTGTCAAATATAATATTTACAAAATTAACTTTGTATTATTTAGGTACGCTTGATATAGGAACAAACTATTTTTGAACACTAATCACTACCAATAACTGAGTAAATGTCCGTTATTTTTCAGTCGACAATCTACAACAATTTGTTTCTTTTCGTTTTAACAGTGTCAATTATTAAGTTGTAATTTGTTTAGCTTTATTATAGACAATTTCAATCATACGTAGGACATATGCCTTTAAGTTTATTGTACCACATGGATTTGTTATTGGATGTTATGTGCTAATTAGTTGTAATTCTGTTCTACTTTTTCTCATCTCTTCATAATCATTAGTTTATTTTCTGGGTCTTTCCTTTTCAACCTTAGCTTTTCTCTATTTAAATAATAATTCTCATTTTATTGTGATTTTGTTCAACTTTCGTATTTTAGTAATAGTGTTACTGACATAAAAATAAGTTGATATTAACGTGTCGTTATCCTATTGGTTGGTCAGTGTTTATTGATTTCCTGATGTTGTTGATCGAAGGATTTTCAATGCTTTAACACATACTAGATAGATTTTCTCATGTATATTCGTTGAAGCTTATTAATTCTTTCTAAAATATGATTTTGTTACTTTTCATGATAGACTTCATCATAAACGATGTCTCCTAACAAACACTTTTTGAAGAGGGGTGTATAAAATAATTTGCTTAGTTACATCGAAGGTTTTCGCGCATATCCTTAACTACTTATTTATTTATTTATTTGAACACATAAATATTGGTACAAGGGGGCACCAGATGTATATGCACAAAACAATGAGAATGGGAAGAGAAAAAGAGGGTAAGGTGCATATAGGAAAAAAGGAAAAAGAAAAAAAGAACGATAACAAGCACAAATTAGTGTATGTTAGTGTAATAATAACAGTAATAATGGGGGAAACGGAAATGTACGACCAGAAGAACTCTTTCAGTTAAGGAAGTTTTGACCACTCTTTATGAAAAAAGTAAAAAAGGTTACAGCCCGATCGCCACTGGCTTTTATTCTGAACCATGTCTGACAACACCTCTAGCCGCTGTGTTGCACCACCTCTAGGACCCCAACCAGGGACTCGTGAAGGACTAACAGAAGCCAGCCCTGTACAGCTTTCTTTCATACCACGACACCATGTCATACACTGAACATCTCTCGCTTTTTCCAACCAGTCCCAGCGTCGGCAAATAATGCACGATGTGGAGTTCTCCGAGACGACATTCGTAGGACATTTCCAAGCCACCGAAGTCGGTGTTTGAATATGGTGACACCAATTGGACTGTCATCTCTGCTCCCGAACACATGATGCCGAACCTCTGCATTACTAACATGGTGTTGCCACTGGATGTCAGCAATCCATCGGAGACAACGATGATTAAACATAGAGAGTCGTCTAACATCCTTAACTCGGAAACGCTAGGTTTAACAAGCATAGAACAAAACTGCCCTTACTGACGAGTTGTGGATCCGACATTTTACAGCCAGAATAGCATCACGAAGGCGCCAAAGATGACCCAGATTGACATACACCGCTTTGGCTTTCACTATATGTGAATCAATTTCATCAGTCACGCCACCACCAGCACTTATGTAGCTACCTAGATACACAAACTTCTCGACCACTTCAATCTGCTCACCACCCAAGGTGAGTACAGGATTCGAATCCTGCCAGTCTTGTAGAAGTGCTTTGCACTTCGAAGGTGCAAAGCTCATACCGTACCTATTGCACGGTATTGATTAATTTTAATTATTTCAGGCTTTTCGATAAGCGTCAAGATTTTCAGAGATTTAGATATATCCCTAGGATTCAACGTATTTAGATTTCAACTAGGTCATAAGATCTTGCTTATTTTCGGATGGTAACAACAAACTTTATTCATTCTTAGTTTGATGGTATAATAATGAACTTACTATGAACAAAATAAATCCTAAAAGACTATTTGACTATATATATATATATATATATATATATATATATATATATATATATATATATATACCTCAAGTATTCTGAGACCTTAAACCACTTCATTATAATATAAGCAATCTGAAAGTTAAATAACCTGACCTACATAAAAGTTCCGTAAAGATTAGATGACAGTAATACCAATTATTGTAAAAATTTAGACTTTTGTAGTATAATTAGACAGTAATTTTGCTTAGAAATAATTTTTTTTAAAAACTGATATCGCTTCGTAACATTGGTTGCTATATTGTATTTGAGTTAAGACGAATCGATTTCTTGTCATTTTATTTCTTCCATCTATTTTATAGATAAAGGAAATACAGTTACTGCAGTTAAATTAGTCTTATATATATTACTGCTGTTACTGTTTCTTCAGCTTATATTATTTCATTCGTTTTCCCCTCAATCGTTTAGATGATCAAAATGCTCTGGGTACTACATGTATTAGTGATGGTATATACATGTATATTATGTATTTTTTGAAAACAATTTTGTCAATATACTCGAATTTTATCCTTTGCATTATTCATTTAATTATCTATGGATTTTATGGGGAAACAGCCGTGTTTTTAATTCATTGAAAGATGTTAAACATTTTAATTACTTTCTAGTTTCTTGTTTTTGCCTTTTATTTCGTTATTCGTGTTTATTATATGTTTAAAATATCTCTTTTTTTTCGTTCGGTGTTTTCTCTTGTTTCAATTTTGGTGCTTTCTATGCTTATTATGCTTTCTTCCATTGATTAATTCTTGTTGAATGTTGTGTTTTCATGAGATGAAATCACCTTTAAGTTTTTATTCTTCATATAGCTACCAGCCGAAGGGCGATTGAATAAGTATCACTTCTGCCTTTAGTAAATAGAAGTCTTAACTTTAAGACGTTTCTCTTCATCTTATTCCAATTAGTTGTGATTTTTTTGCTCATCACATAATTCAAACACCATATTTTGTTTTCTAAGATTACACTATATGTAAGGAAAATTACTTAAAATCTATGTTATTGACATCTGGTTTCATCCTTACTCCTGAAGTGTTAATGAATTTTATATGGATGCATACACAGTCAATTCAATACATACTCTAACTGAGGTGTTGGATTTTCTGGTAAAACTTTTGGAAAACTCAAGGAATTCATGAGATATTGGGAAGACTTTACGAAAATAACTCACTGGATGAAACTACTCTCTTTAAGTTAATTAGTTGTTCCAACTAATCGCATGAAGGTTTCAAGAAAGCTACAATTTTCAGAATTATCGCTAACTTGTGTTGATGAAAATATTGGAAGTGTACAGTCTCTTGTATTTTCTGACCTCTGATAATTGCTGATTAACTGGATTTAGGAGAATCACTTTTGGATACGATTCTAAAAATACAGCTACTAATAATAATGAAGCCTAATTTTCGATGACTCAGGGGTATTTTGAACGAAAAAAATGAAAAAAGAAACAAGTGTATAGTCACAAATTGGGAGTATTTTCAACGGCATTCGATTGATGCACCCTGAATTCTCCGAGAGTGAGAAGAGTCCACTCTCCCTCTCGAAACGCTCTCACATGGCCATGCGTATACAGCCACTGCCAGAGAAGTCCTACTCCTTGCCTTCTCGCGGCGTTACTGTTGTTTACGAAATTGAGAGGACGAAAAGCGAATGTCCGGAGCTTTAATCAGGCCGGTGAACACGGAGGATCCACCTAGAGAAGTTGAAAAACTCTGATTCCAAACTAATGGTGCACATGGGCTCAAAGATCCTGAGGGAACAAATGACGTATGAGCCAATTATTGGCGACCGGATACGATGGGACCGCATCTCCTTACGCTACTTCACTGCCTTGTGGATCAGACCCTTAAGTCAAAAGCATCGGACGTGGCCCCCTAAAAAACCACCTGCTTCAGTCTGGGCACCCGGTTAGTATCACAGCCCTCACACAAATCAATGATAACCGCTACTGGCCTCATTGTGATTGTGTGGTGCATTTGTATTTGGTGCCCCCTTACACCAATGTTTATGTGTTCAAAATAAATAAATAAGTTGATTGAATAAGTACTGTCACAATCTTACGAAATTGTACATTTTTTCGAACTTACTTGTATCCAAATTATAGATCATTCATAAAATTCAAACTCCTTGAGTTCCTCACATTTCATATTAGTCTTGTGATTCTATGAATAATAGCAGTGTTCTTAACGCCACCGCATGTTGAACTATATCTTAATAATATTATTGGACTTTCGATTTATATCCTTTTTATCCGATTCGTTCTTTTAATTTCCAACAGGTGAATGTTATCAATGCTCTCTGCTGGACCTAAAATTATTGACGTCGATTTTTGTATGAAGTCAAAATTGCACTAGTAAATAGTAAAAAACTGGGATAAAGACTGTCGTGTACTGTTTAGTTTTCAATTATTTTACAACTCTCAAAACTCTTACCTTTACGTATATCAATTATTTTAAGTATGTTTTTAAGCAGAGTTGGGTGGTGGCTAACAGTGGAATCTAGGACGCGTGTTTCGTCCTAATAAATGTTTATAGTTTTGTTGTTACACAAAGTCTACTGAAAAGAGTATAGCATACTAATTAATTATGCAGCTATTTTAACTTTTCTCTATATTTATTAGGTCAATCTTCATGTCTTGAAAAGCGCGCATTTTATCGAATGGTGTCTGGGTTGCATAGTAGTATCAGTGTTCATTTATCTTATCGATATCCGTTAAGTCGTAAGTTTTTATTTTTAGCAAACTTTCTTAAATGTTTCTAGTATCATAAACATAATTTCACAGTGTCAAATGATATCGTTTTGTTCATCTCATAGAATTATGATAAATTTTTCTCAAATTGTTTAAAAACTATTACAATTACTGTACTATCAATTTTTATTAGTATCTGTCAGATTCTTGAGAGCATCAGACAAATATATATTTACAGATAAACGGAATCCTCAATTATTTATTTTTAATCATAATCTAATCAAGGAGTGATGAACTAATAGCCAACATGCTCAGTTACCAATCAACACTTTACAGGTTCAAACCCTACTCCACCTAATTCGGTTTATGTAACCACGTAACATCGCTATCCTTCTCTCAAACAACGGCATAAAAATCGAGTACAAAGATGTTTATATCGTTAATGCGTTATATTATGTATCAATTAATCAAGTGTTGGCCAGTGATTGAGGTGTTCAACTTTTAGTCATAAAGTCACAGGTTCAACCCTTGTCTTGCCTGCATCTATTTCATCAACTGGGTAGCATCGCTAGCCGCTATATTTAGAGTGCGACTAGAAGCTAAGCGCATGAATCTGTACTTGGTAAATAAGTTAAGAAGAAATGACCTCATCAAGCCTTTATGTAGATAAAAGACATTCACTTTACTCAGAATGTTCATCTTTCTTGCTTTTATTCTTTATCTTTAGTTTTTTCTCGACATCAACCAATATCTCGTGATTATGATAGTAACAATCCAGGTTGGGGTCCAAATTTAGAGGAATTTCGTCGTCGTTTTGATCCATCCATTGTACCAGATGGTTTAACTCGATTGCGTAATCTTTATTTCACTTATTTGGTGGAATTACGTGCTTTAGCTAAAGCTGCACCTTATTTGATGAAACAAACTTATTTCACAGGAGATGAGAAAATGGATAAGGAAACTAGATCTGTTGTTACAGATTTTTTACAAATAATTCAGTAAGCTTTATTTAATTCGTTTCGTGTTAACTATTAGGGTGATTATCATAATAAAATAAAATCTGTTTTGGATTCTGTCGAGTAATCATAGTAACTAAGTTTTTTTTGCACGAATAACCCATCATCAGCCAATAAAATAATTTCGGTTTACGACTATACAATCTGTTAAGCGGTGAATTCATCCATAGTTTTAAGTAAAAGCCTTTCATGTTTTCCCTGTCAGCTATAAACTAACAGTCATACAAATATTCATAATTATAAACCCTAAAGCATTCAGAGTTTATTTATTTCATGTAACCTGTTCTATCTTATAATGTTCTATAAGTTGAAATTATATGAACTGTGATCATCGTTAAGACTATGAAACTCAATGACTCAACTAATTATCCTCCGAGAAAAGAGAGATAACGTTACTTAATCAAGTGAACAATGATAGACTCTCGAATTCTTTTTTTATTTAGCATCTACACATTGTCCAAATTAATATATAATATCATTCCATGAAATCACTTGCTTTTTCCTGGAGCCACGTAGGAAGATGCTAGTGTGTGATTTAAAGTCTTTGGGGACTTAGACATGATAAAAGTGACATCAATTTGTTTATTATTTATTATCTTTTAAGAACTAGACACCATATGATTTTAAATTAAACCGTGTAGTTAAGTGCAGACCAATTTGTTGGAGTCCGCTTGATTATTCTAACTTATGGTTGGAGACATTAGGTGACAATTTATAGGACCGGTTGCATTCACTCTTTGTTCCTAAAATACTTGTACTTTTTATTTTAAAAATTCATTCTTGAATCATATTGTCTAATATTTTCTACTACCACTGATAACGATACTACTTCTACTAAGTCTTTCGTCTTGACAATTTAATTTCGCTGTGCTAACGTGGTGTGGCGACCGGGATTGATGTACATATATGCCAGTTTTACATTATTTATAACTAATTGGTATTTCTAAAAGTATTCTGAGTGATCAAATACAGCACCTTATGTCAACTTCAAATATTAGTTTCACGACATCGTTAATTTAATTCGATACTACGATACATGATAATCATCCAATTAACAGTCAACCTATTATTTTTTTTATGTAACTTTATATCCTGAGGTCTATAGAAATGGTAAAATACTTTTAATTGTTACTTCCTCTTTCTCCTTTTCACATCCACTTAGTGTTAATAATATTTTTTAAATGTTCTCATTGCTTTTACTCCCCTTTGTGTTATTGAAATTTCTAAAAATTCACAGTGATACGCGTATTTTGCTAATGATTCTATGGTTTCATAAGTGTTTATCTATCAAGATTTCAATATAATATGGTCTATCAAATAACACTTAAAATGAAAACTTCAGTATAAATGAAAAATATTATTGAAACATGAACAGTAGTAGTATACTATCAGTTAACTTTATTTTCGCAGTTTTGAATCATGAATTGATTTTAGCTAGAACAATATTGAAAATCTGAAAGCACTGGACGACCGTTCTGTCTTAGTATGGGACTCCTCAGCAGTGCTCACCCACGGACCCGTGTCCGGGAATCTAACCCAGGACCTTCGGTCCCACGTACAAACGCTTAACCTGTAGACTACCGTTAGATACCAGCTCGGCGGTCTAAAGGCCAAGCGTTTTCGAGCAAAACCAAAGGTTTTGGATGCGATCCCTGGACACGCGTCCGTGGATGCACACTGAAGAAAAGTCCCATACTAAAACTAAACGGCCATCCAGTGCTCTCAGGTTTCCAATGGTGGTTTAGCTAAGATAAGTTCATGATTTAAAACTATAAAACTTCTACTATCTCCACAAATCCCCCATACTAATATTTCTATTTTGTCAATTAGCCTTACACGCTGTTCAATAACAAACAAATTTAGTCCTGCTGAATTAAAAAATATTTATAGATGAGTATGAATTGTCAAAGGGAATAACAGAAGGAAAAATGAAAAAAAAAACTGAATACAACTGTACCAATGAGTGACTTCAAGTCGTTTCACATAAGACTTGTATTTTGTTAATTTATACGCTGTCTCATTCAAAACAGTTAACTAGCACAATTAGTTAGCATATTTTAAAGATGATCCTGCTGCACCGGCAATCCTACCTACCCATTACACCTGATTTCAGTGAAAAAAGAAAAAAAATTTATTTCATGTCATCTTAGAATTAGGGAATCAAATGTGCATTATAATTGTTTTTTCTTCTAATAATTGAAATATTCCTATAGCGGTTTTAAATCACCAATCCATTTTGTATTTTCATAACACCAGAAACGAAGGCAGTATTTTTAATGAACATCTTTTGTTCACTGGAGATATTAATGAAGCTAATGTGTTAAAAAAACAATTTCGTGAACATTTTCGCAATATTTCACGTATAATGGATTGTGTTGGCTGTGAGAAATGTAGATTATGGGGAAAATTACAAGTGAGTTACGTCTAATTGATTTTTTCCAAAAAAGATATTTAATACATGTGATTTTTTTCTACATATCTTGAATTTGATACGCGGGTTTATTTGAAGAACACAAATTAGAAATCATTCAGAAGAAAGTATACTAAAATTTTATTTGTTCATTGAGAAGTTTGAAGTAGTTGAGTGCACGTTCACACTAATCTAATTATAAATCACACATACATGAATTACTAAACAACCGTAGCTGTGATCAAGTTATACAGTTTAATTAACAAGTCGAGTCACCCAATATCATGAATTACTTTATTTAAGTATTAATTGATCATAATTATTAGAACTAACTGTTGGAGTGAATCAGGAGTTTCTGCATTTCAGTCAATAATATTTTCATAAAGTTATTTATTAAATGTCTATCTGCAAGAGACAGGTGAGTATGCACTTAGATTCTGTTACAGTCATTTCATTACCGTCGGTTTGACTTTTAATGGTAATAAAAACATCTTCAGTATGTCGGCTATTTCCCCGAACTGAAAATGAAAACACCTAAATAATGACCGACATAATAAATCTCAGTAATTTTAATAAAAAATCTTACCAATCTCATCCATCTATGTAAATAAATGACAAACCATCACTATTATCGTATACTGACTGTTAATATTTACTGAATGCAACCTTTGTAGTGTTACGTTATTTTAAAGTTAAGTATTTTCAGGCCGCAAACTCATCTGAAATCCGGCAATATTTATTGATTTCAGTCATTAGATAAATAATTTACGTAAAATATGTTTTCAGAGTTGTCTCGAACTGGTTGAAGTTAGACATTGGATACCGACTAAGTGGCCGGGCGATCACAATGAGACCTTAAGGTCCTAGGTTCAAACTCTGATGGGGTCATGGATACACACTGCTAAGGAGTCCCATAACAAAACGGAACAGTTCTCCAATCCTACCTATTTTACAGTGACTGTTTAACCTGAATCCGTTCTTGATGTAAACTAAAAATGATGTCTGACTTCATTAGTAGTTTACTTATCATGCGATTAGTTTTGAACTGTTTTCGATATGGTCTTACGATTCCTTAGAGTTTGATTTGTTATTCTTGTTTTCTTTCATCGAGTGATATAACAGGTCTTCTTGACAATTTTATCCAGTACTCACGTTTTGTATTAATTGATGATGACACTCCCTAATTGTACTAAGCCGTAAACTATAATTATTGAATGCTTGTATCATTGCAACTCATTTACGAGGTATAGATTCGTATACTTAGCCTCGAGCCACACTGAATGTAGAGCTTAGCGATGCTGCCCGATTGGTTGGACTCTAATTTTTCTTGACTGCTTATTATTTAATCAAGGTAATGATTGCCTTCAGATTGGATTCATTTACAACATTGATTTTCTTTACCTTGTTAGGTTAATTTATTGGACTATCATAAGACTATTAATTTCAACTAGAGAAGTCAGATATCTTGTCAACTTTTCATTATTATTAGTAGTTTAAAGGCTATGATACAAATTTATCGGTCCTGTTTTTGCAAACGGTAATCAATACATCAAATAATTTTTTTCTTTCTACTTGTTGTCGAATTACCATTGTTAGTAAGCGTAAGGTTTCGGGTTCAAGATCTGGTAGAAACATTGAAACTGAAATTGTTGGGGAGACCCAGAAAATTCCTCGTAAACAGCCTCTGTGAAACATTGTATCCAATCAACATTGAATAAAAATTTCTCGAGAACATCTAAAAAGTGAAGAGTCACGTATCAGATTTCTGATCGGATGATTACCTGTCCTGCTACTACGTTTAGAAGGGTTCCGTAACTTTCCAGAATCTGAGGGCCATCTGAAGTGCTACAAATACCTTCAATTTTCTGTACATAAACTAACCTTGAAGTAAAACGTTTCTTTCCATCTTTCTCACCTTTTCTTTCGTGTTCAAGTTTCAGTGTAGATTTAGCCTGAGGGCTACTAGAAGAGCTTAGGAAACCGAATCAAGCCGTCAGTCAGGAGATTTATCAGGAACGTAAGTATATCCAGCTGAAAGGTCCCAAACAGAGTGAAACGTGCTTCCGTGATTGCACTGCACTTGTAAAAAGTGGCTGTATCAGGGTCATCCATTCAGGCTGCACATATGACAAGAAAGACTGAACAGAATTCAGTCAAGATTAATAAAGGATAACTATTATGTTTTCGAATAATGTTTAGTGACTTGATTTCTTGTATAAACTACCGTTAAATTATTATTATCATTTATTTCAAAGGTAGTCGAGTTTCAGTGAATGATTTTGTGACAGTTTTGTTCCCACCGTTTTTAATTCTACATAAAATTCATTTCCAGACACAAGGTATGGGTACTGCTTTGAAAATTTTGTTTTCGGATACTGTTCGTAAAGAGAATCCTTTAGATCAATCATCTACTGCTGAACCTAATTTTCAACTGCGAAGGACTGAGATAATTTCCCTGTTTAATGCATTTGGTCGGTAAGAGCAATTACATTTAATGTAATAAGTTGATAATTTACACCCTATTTAATTACCTTTCACTGATTTTCACTTATAAATTAGCTTGGACCAGATTGCCAGGCGAAACGTTGGATTTAATTTAAAAATTCATTCGCTGAGATTTTACAAATATATTATTCCTATTTAATGTCTTACTTCAACTCGGCGCTCAAATACTGTGAAACTATTCGTTCTAATTTAGACGAGAGTTCTTATATAAATTAGCTTCCTAAATATTTTCATACAATTTAAGTCAAACTCATCATTCTATTTCATAACGCTCATTATCAACTGAACACAAATGGTAATATGAACGAACCTTTGACATAGTTCAATTAATATAATTGAAATTGACGTCGGAGACGGGACAGAAAATCTTAAGAACGAGAAGAAGGCAAAAAAATATTGTTTTAACCGTTATAGTTGAGATTGCTGAATATTTCTGTTAAAAACGGAGTTTTATAAAGAAAGGTTTGAGGTTGTTAATAATATTTATAATTAAGAGCTAAAATGAAAGAAAAATAATTGATGATATAATCAGTTCTCATCATTGAAATAAAATCTATATGATGAATGGAATTCGATAAAATTACCTCAATAATTCCTCTGTTATTGATAAAAAGTGTGTACGACTCTTTCCTTTATACATAGGTTGTTTTGAAAGTTCTTGATGTTTGATGGTCATTATAACGCAGAATAATAGTAGCATTTGGTGTATGTTAATTATTTTGAATGGCTCTATCATAGAAACTTCATGTGAACTATCCATCGAGTGTCTAGTGATGATCGTGTTGATGAACATTTTACTGCTCATCAGATAGATTTTTAAAAAATATATTCGGTAAACCCTGTAGAGATACCTTTCCGTTAATTCTTTCTGTATGCTTACTATAAGAAGTACGTGCTTATTAGTAAATATAATAGAATGTGACTTCAGAAGTGTATTAATCCGATTTGCATTGATTTAAAGAGCATTAAATACCAGATATTGAAACTAGTTGAACTGTACAAAGCTCTTTTTGAATCTAACTGGTTTCGAAAATACAATGTTCTAATCTAGGTACATAATTACTTTGTCTAATTCTTTCATCTTAGTCATCACTGTATAGCTAATAAACCCTATGCTTATAGTTTTGTCTAATCGAATCCTACTGGTAAGTCATTTCTACTGTAAAACTAGACAATAGGCAGGAGAAATGTGTTCTTATTGCAAGAAGTCACAAAGTATTTACAATATATATATATATATATATATATATATATATATATATATATATAGCCTTCAATTCTTCATTTGCATCTTCCGGTGTATTTTGCAATCTAAACTGTCTCTCGACTAGCCTCCAAGTGTTCCCCCAACTCCGTACTTCCGATGCACTGAAACTCTTTACTCTATCCGACATTTGTTGTAACAGAAATATTAATAGGATTATGTCTCACGAATTTATTGAAGATAGTTATACTGTGTTGTTTTTTCTCTCATTCCCTTCCCTCTAGTCTATCTACAAGTATTGGTGCATTAGATGATTTTTGTGAAATGATTCATGAGTCGGAAAAACAGAAACGGCATGCAGCATCAGGATAAATTCATGACACTGTGTTCACGATTTTCAACTTACCTTCATTTACTGCTGTACTATCGCTGTTACTGTCAAAGCTACAAATATCAGCATACACACACTACTGTTTGTCATTTGTGGTCTTTCAAATTCACATTATTCCAGTCTGTTAGCACTGCTGTAGAAACCAGTAAAATATAACTGTTATGTTATGTATGCACATGTTGTAAGCGACTCTTGTCGTCATAATCTATACTGTTGTATTATTGTAAATTATTGTATACATTTGTGTTGTTTCCAATATGCGTCGATGTAGTTTCTTCCTGTTAGTTATTTTATCTTCTTCTAAAGAATTGTTTAAGTATATGTTCATTGGTTTCATTATTCATCGAAAAACTACCTACTACTTACTTATTTCCTATGATTTTGACTAAAAATAAGTTTGACAAATCTTAATAGTAGTGTTTTTGTCGCTGTACTGTTAACCGTCCCCGGTCAACTCGAATATTCACCTCTTGTTTTTTCTTCTGTTTATTTTTCATCATTATGTTGTATTATCTTTTTGTTCAGCATTTTATAAATAAATCATCACTACTCATAAATACAATTTTCCCACCCACCTCTACTCCAACATGCGTTGACTGGTGTTTTTTAACCTGTGACATTCTCACTTTGTAAACCTCATATAATTTCCTGAACAAATAAATTGTTCATGTAAGAAAAGTCTCACTTTTTATTGTACTTCTCTTAGACACGTATAAAAAACTTGGATGAGTCAGTGTTTCATTATGAGTGTTCTAAATGTGCGATCACGAACGAATGTCCCGGAAAGAGAATAATTTTGCCGTCGATATTTATATTGACAGTCTGCAATTAAATATAAGATATTTAGACAAAGCAGTTACTAGGTAATCAAATTTGTTTAAATATCAGTCCTCTACAGTAGGTCAGTTGCTTTTAGATTGTTTCAAATAGTTTCTTTCTCTTGTACACTGACTTAAATCCCCGCTAAGGAAATATGCCTTTTTAATGAAGTCTTGGTACGTCTTTCGGACAAGTTTTATCAAGTACGAAACAAAGGTCCAGGACTTTCTGCAGATAACTTCCAAAAAACGTTTACAGCCATATTGAGATCGGTGACTGCATCAGTCATACTCAACGTAGGACCCGGCACAATGTGCATCGGTTCAAGTTGCTACACGATATTAACACATTGAAATAAAATTACTGAGACTAACATCAGATTGGCAAAAGTATGGTTCGAGAAAAGAAAAATGCATCGAACAAAAAGTATAAAAGATAATTTTGAAACCCAAGCTCTAGGGATAGGAAAAGTTTGAATACATTTGCTACAGCGACTAATTCTGAGTCATGTCAGCCACACCTTCAAACATTAGTTAAATAGTCATGTGGACTCCAACTAGCTAGTCTGAACTTACCAACACAGCTCAGCCAACCTATCAGTCAATTCGTGGACTGAAGCCACTTTTTAGTTTGGCCGCCATTACCACTCAACTGCACTCCGTATCATTATTTTAGGCATTCACATAGATCAGTTCTGAAGCAACAATTTCTACTGAAAGTAGATCATTGTCCCATTTATTTTGGAAATAACCTCATTAATACCACACCCTTGAATACCTGTTTCTTTGATAAGTCTGAAAGGTTCCTTATAGCGGCTGTCTTTTCCATTTCATTTACTTTCGCTACCCACCATTGCTCACGACTACTGATTAGGCTTTCTATCAGTTCAGTGTTTAAGCTATCTTCGTTCCTCATCTTGTTCAAAGCCTAAAAGGATGAGTTTCCAATCATCTATCAGTTTGTTAGATACCAACAGAATCCTTTCATGTTATTTCATCTTTTGGTTTGATTTACTGGTAGATCTCCGCTGTTTGGATGTCATTCCAACCTACATCCATGTCAACATCGCTTTTATGACTGACTAAATCCTTTCTTGACTTCATCTTTAAGCTGAATTCTACTGATATTCCTTCTGGAGCTGTCTGAGCGAAGCTGCCATTATCTGTTCGTTAAGCTGCAACATCGTAACCCCCACTTGGTACCTGTCATTTTATGTTAGACTACCTACCTAAAGATTAGAATCCCTTACTATGATTAATACATTTGAGTGTTTAACTTCTTGAAGGAGATCAGAAAGATATTTTAAATATCCATCTTTTACCTCATCCGAACTGCAGTCATTGAGTGCGTATTCAGAGGCAACGGTGTGTGTCTTCATCTTTTTTAGGTCTTTTTGCTTCGTGTATTTGGACATTGCACAAGGAATCCACTTTAGGGAGCCTATTCTACTTCTGAACTTAATACTATATCTCCGCCAGCAACGCCACAAAAAGTAGCAGCCGAATCCCCAGAGTGGTTCGTGCTTGTTCTCAGTACTGACTAGATGACATCAAGTGAATAACCACACTACAACCCTTTATGGGTATTTCGAAGACGCAGTATATATCATTGACAAGGGTACTAGCTAGGAGGGTCAACTCAATTTGTTATAAGATTAGAATATTTAAAACACCAGCATATAGTTTAGAGCACAGATTTAAAAGACCAAGACTAACATTTGTTGAAATCAAATCGTGGGTAGAATAGTCGGAATCGTAGGAGAAAGTTGATAGTGAGAATTGAAGGAATACCAAGAATAGACACAGGGATTCGGTAATGAACAGAGTGGTCTCAAATGCTTCTGGTGGTCATCAGACTTATCAAGAGTGGGAAAGCAGCAGAACCTGACAATATACCAGCTGAAGTCAGACACAGAACTGCAAACATGTTCCACGTTCTAATCAGGAAGATTTAGGAGGAGGAACAAGTGCCGACACACTGGAAAAAAGGATATCTCATCAAGATACGAACGAAATGAGATTTGAGCAAATGTGAGAACTACAAAGGCATCACATTACTATCAGTACTAGGAAAAGTTTTCAATAGAGTGTTGTTGAACCGCATGGAAGATTACGTAGACGCCCAACTTCTATTTCAACAGACTGGATTCCGTATGACTGATGGTGCGCCGACTAAATTGTGACAGTACAGATGATCGATAAACAATCAATTGAATGGAATTCGTCACTACACATCAACTTCATTGACTATGAGAAATCGTTTGACAGTGGGGATAAGAGAACCTTATGGAATCACGTTTGAAAAGTCTTTAAAACTGTGAAGTATAAGCGACCATCCTGACGAAACCTTATAAACGATTTTTATAGGGAAATTTTTAAAAATCGGTTGAATATTAAACAGTTTACATTAGCTTATGTTCTTTGAATTTTAGAGGTAATGGTGCACTGCAGTACAACTTTGTTAACACAGAACTCATTGACAAGAGATTGAACGAACTTATTTTGCCGAATCTCTGTTGCGTCTCTTTTTAAACTAATTTAGAATTGGTTGTATGAGGATACATGTATTTCCCCGTAACACTTCTACGAAGTGAATTTTTTCAGTAATAATATATTCAGTTTTGTAAGGCTCAATTTATATAATGCAGAATAACTTGGTCACATACATTTATGAGAGATGTTAGACTATTAATTCTTGATTAGATTATCTACGTTAACCTTCAAATATAAATCGATTGTTTTGTTGGCAGTAATTTGATATTTATAGTTTTCAAGGAATCCAGAGACTCTTCTTTCAATTAAAATTCAATGAAATTTAAAAAAAAATAAAAACCAGGATACAAATTATCTGGAATTTTATAGTTGAGATCATAAGTCAATTAAAGCTGGACCACGATGGAAAATCTAGAAGCACTGGACGGCCGTTTCGTCCTATTGTGGGGCTCATCAGCAGTGCGCATCTACGATCACGCCTCATGATTTCAACCATAAAATTACTGAAATCTCCACAAAAGCCCCTTCTGTTATCTGAAATTTGTTTGTTTTGTTTAATAATTATACTCTTAATATTATGAAAATTAATATTTAGTCCTTAAAATTCATTCGTAAATTATCGTGAATCAGCGAACATATTCAGTATTTAGTATTTTTTTGAACTACTATAATTAGGAAAACATCCTATTTTTTAAAACTTTAAAAATAAATTTTGTTGTCTAGGTGTAAAAAGTCTCTACACAACTATATAAATAAATAAATAACACAGTATTCATCAATGGTCTTCTTCTACATGAATGTTCTTGAAGTTCCAGCTAGAAATAGTAACTGAAGATGTTAACTAATTAAGAATTAGGACAGTAATTAGTCAATGAAATAAGTTGAGAATCATGCTGTCACAAATTGACTGGGATTTAAAAAACCAACAGTGAGTTAATATATTCCCTCTTAGTGCTTTGATAATAATCAATTCACAGTATGGTATTCATATAGTCCCAAGTTTAGTCTCGTAATGATTGTAGATTAAGACCATTGAGGAAAACTACTTACTTACTTACATACGCCTGTTACCCCTCGTCGAGGAGCATAGGCCGCTCACCAGCATTCTCCATCCAACTCTGTCCTCGGCAATCCTTTCCAGTTCTTTCCAGTTGTTATTCATCCTTTTCATATCTACTTCTATTTCCCGGCGTATTGTGTTCTTTGGCCTTCATCTTCTCCACTTCCCTTCCGGATTCCAAGTTAGGGCTTGTCTCGTGATGCAGTTTGGTGATTTCTGTAATGTATGTCCGATCCATTTCCACCGTCTTTTCCTAATTTTCTCTTCAGCTGAAAGCTGATTTGTCATCTTCCATAAAACTCTGTTGCTGATAGTATCCAGCCAGTGAATGTTGAGTATTTCGCGTAAACAACTCCACCTGTAGCTCTTCTAGAGTTACTGCCAGTCTCAAGCTCGGGTAAAGGAGGAGGGTTGGGCATCCCACAGAAAAACTAACTCGCTGAAAAAAACGCTAACCAGAGAAAAACAAAGCTTAAATGAAATAACTATTCAATGTTCTCTTGTTTTTTAATATTCATCCATCTAAAGTTATGGTATAATAATACAAAAAATTTACGCTTAAATTGTACAAAATCTCAGAGAATAAATTTAATGGGGTTATTTCACCTAAATTATAATCTGCAAGGACGGCTCGTTGGTAAACTCTAGGAAGCCTTAAGAAGCCCAGAAAAAGCCGGACATATTCCATCCAATCACTGCTAGAGGAATATTCTAGGATGTCGACGTGTAGCTTCCACATTGGATGGATAAGAATGACCCCTATGCGCCTATTGGTTGACCGAAATGATGATTTACATTCAGCCAATAACTATAAATACATGAGATTTCTGCACTATATTTTGACACTGTTTGGGGAATAAACTTCCTACTTACTAGTCTTCAGTCTTCTCTCTTGAGACGTTGCGGGTTCTATCGTTCAAGTAGTCTAGTAGTACGCGGCATAGTAAGAATCAAAGCTCTAGATATAACATAATCAATAATAAATTTCATCATATTTTGTACCATCACATTTATTATTGAATAGTTTAACTGAAATAAACATTTAATGTTTACTATTAATTTGTTTAAACAAAATAATAAAAATAAATCAGTGTGGTCATTTTTATTTAAAGTGCATTAAAAATATGAAATCAATTAAATATTGTATAATTAAAAGTTTGAATTTTTTTCAACAATCAATGAAATTTTCATAGTTGAAATCATGAGTCAGTTGAAGCTAGACCACCATGGAAAACCTGAAAGCACTGGACGGCCGATTCGTCCATGATCTCATGACCTCAACTACTGAAATTACTACAATATTCACAAAAAACCCCTTCTGATAATTATCATAATATGATCACTACTGACTGGCTTCAAGAGGTATTTCTTGGATTTCTAGTGAGAAGCAGTGACCAGTGTTGTTCAACCACATCTGTTGTAGAGATATCAACTCACTGAAGATATTGGTGGATGTGTCGCTCAATTTCGTGGATTGGTTGAAGTTAGACATTGACACCGTTGGATACCGTCCGGCTCAGTGGTCTATCGGTTAAGTGCTCTGGCATGAGACTGGTAGGTCCTGGGTTCGAATCTCGCGAGACGGGATCGTGGGTGCACACTGCTGAGCAGTCCCATAATAGGACGAAACGGCCGTCCATTGCTTTCAGGTTTCCCATGGTGGTTTAGATTCAATTGATTCATGATCTCAACTATTTAAATTACTATAATATCCACAAAACCCCTTCTGATATTAATAGCTCGATAGCTTATAAACTCAATGATTGTAATATTAATTTCTTATAGGTGATATAAAATAACGAATTAGATGTTGAAAATAATTATATTACAGAACTGGTGATATTTGTTTCCTAACAAAACTTATCTATGTAGAAAATTAA